CCTAAAAAATGATTTGTTTGCTTTTCCTATTCTCTCTCCCCCACGCTTACTTGCTGCATATTAAAGGAGTCATATATAGCTGCACTGCTCTGTCCACTGTATTTGGCATACATTATAACTCTTATACGCGCTCTCTCTCAACTTTCYAAGCACCTCAAGTACTTAATGGAAATATGAAAAATGCATAGCCAAATTGATGAGTCAATTGAAARCAAATTTCCGYTTTATTATCAYAGCCTGCTTTGATTGATTGTAGGTCATGTGTGCTTTGCGGCATAGCTGGAGCTGTGCATCTGCATCTTAGAGCAGCTTTAATTTTTGATTGTTGCAACGTTGGAAACGTGCAAAGTTCTCAATTGAGGACGCCATCCTTTAGGCCATTCATTTCATTAAAGCAGCACAATGTGGCTTTTGTAAGGCGCACGAGGAATCGAGCATACGTGGCAAACGCCGCTCCACTTGCCTCACAGCCTTGGGGCCTTGCAGTGCGCCAAAGCCGACGGCGTGACGTGCGTGCGTTTTCTTTATTCTGCTGAGGGTGTTGCCGCTTCCCAAGCCACGCTTGTCAGCGAAGTCCTCAACATGTGCAGCAGCTCTTGACAAGAGCCTTTGCCTCAGCTAATATACCAAAGGGGGAAAGTGGCAGAGGTAGAGGCAGAGGYACTGGAAGAGGCTGCCACTGCTGCTGCTGTGGTTGCGGCTACTGCAGATTGCATTGCGCAATGCCGCAAAACTTTGCTACGTAAATCCCTTTTGTCGCATTAACTGCTAACTTTTTGCAACGCGTAGAACGCGACAAACTTTGTTTACAACTCAAAAAACTCAAAAGGCAGGTAGCTCACTCAATTCCCAGATCCTTTATCTACAAATTCCTTTGCTCGTTCCCGCCCCCGCTTGCATGCGCTCAAACATGCATTTGTCAAATCAAAATTTTATGGTCTCGTCACATTGTTGCCCCGACAACGAAAACTGCTCAAAGAATTTTACCGTCTCGAGTGCAGTTTTTATAACAGTCGCAAGGAAAGCGGGTAATATAGCTTTGCCAGTCTGTTTGTTGCTCTTATATTAGATTATGTTCAATTTATTCATGGTCTTATATTATACTCTTTGTATTCCCATCTTGCATATACACATACACATAGTTCGCCTTATTCCCACTTATGCATACGTATTCTTACACAAAGAGAGTTCGCTTTTTGTCTCTCTCCCACTCTTGCACTCATCAGTGTAGATCGAAAATAAGGCAATGAGAGATGTAATTTGTTGACACTCATTTCTCTTAAGCAACTTAGGCAGCCATCYTATACTTTTACGAATTGAACATGGAGGAGCTCAGTTCAGCTATTTGTCTCTCTTGCACACATGCAAATACTAATTTTGATCATATCTCTTTTCAGCTTACGTGATTTCCTATTCGAGAGCTTATGCATCCGTCTTTCCAATAACTCACACAAATGTAAGAAGAGTACA